CTTTTGTAGTGTTTCGTCTCATTCTTATATTTTCAGTATTTTATAGTTTGTGTTAAACTTGTTTATATTAGCCAGGTCACAGGTAACACACCCATAGTATCAGATATCATGTAGACTTCTCCAGCATTGGTGACATTTTTAGTAAAGGGAACTTGGCATGGCGTCGCGGAAAATCTCGAGCTGTTGAAATTAATGGAAATCCTGAAGTTTTTTTCAGTCGAAGAAAGAATTTCTTGTAATGAATCGCAAGAACATAAAATCAGTTTGTTCGGCACAGAGTGGATCGCTGTAAATATAAGAACTGTTATGAGGCTGTTGGAAATATCCAGGCTTTGTCTTTCCCTTTGATAACATGTAATTCAGTGTGTTTACATATAATTATAAAGACATTTTAAGATTCATAATTTTGTAAAGAAGTTAACCGGTTTGTGTTTTTCTTTCAGGTAAGCGCAAATCAGTATCCTGTCTTGCAGTTTACGGACCGGGAACAATGTTGGTAAGTAACGTCATTTGTCATAGCGATATCTCTTACTAGTTGTCGCTGATCCCAAACAAACCCGACATGCGTTAATTATTTTTCTAACTAGCAGAGTTCTCACATTGTTATTGCTGTGAAATTTGACAAAATTCTTACGTTTTTTAGTAACCTTTATTTCCCGGTGGGCTATCATAGGTCTGATGATTCGATACGTATCGATGAATGTCTAAAAAAAAAATTTTCAAAGATATTCCTCAGGGAGTCTTTCCGTGGCCTTGAAGGATGCAGTTCATATAACTTTTAGCAACACGGCATTTTTATGTATCTCAGAGAGGTCCGTGGAATGGGCATTCTGATATCAGAAGCAAATATTTCGACTAGTGTCTGGGAATGGGGCATCGGCACAACCTTTTAATGTAATGATGTACGTTGCTCGTTGGGTCATTGAAGGGGAGATGAATCATGTCTGTCTATAAGGCACTTTAATTTCTTCTCTTGTGATGAAATTGCTAAATGTTTCAACCTGAAATATGTCTATAGAATTCCGTTCTATTTAGAACGTACTAATAAGAATGGTCGAAATATGAAGATAATTATTTTTGTCCTTTCAATTTACTTGATGAATAATTCCTGTTTATTCACGTGAATGATTTCTGTTGCCTTGTATGTTACTAATTAATTAAGTAACAGACTGTATTTAGTTTCCAGTCTTTGGTTTTCATTGGTTGCTTTAACCTGTTTATCGAAAAGAAATATCAAATGTTTTTTGAACGAAACTACAAATTTAGAACCTAAGTTTGTCTTTTCATAACTTTGCCATTTTCTTTTTAGAATGTTTTGAAATTGTCTGGAGCCATTAGAATCATACGGAACTTCATTAACATAAATTGAACTGAGAAGAAGCAATGTTTAACGTAGTAGCTTTTCTTGACTGGCTTCTGCCTGCAAGACTGTACTAGGGCATTGCTACATTTCCCATGACCAGAATTCAGTTACCAGACGTCGTGGTTCACCGAATGTTGGTCAATCCTGCTTCGTACCCGGAAGGTTCCAGTCAGAATCTCGTCTCAGAAAGAGAGTGTTCTTACTCAGGGGTTTCGTGGGTTTAGTAAGTTTATTCAGATACATGACGTGGTATTTCCGTTAAAGTGGCCAATCTTTGAGTTTGTTTGTGTATGTGTGTGTTACGTATGTCTGCATGTACGAGTACGCTTTATCTATAAAATAGTCCTTATTGTCTTCTATCTCAAAATAGAAATATGGCCTCAAAAACGTAATTTTACCTGTTTTAAGATATATATTATTTAAATCTTGTCCGTCTAATCACAATAAATTCTTATTAAATATTAAAATATTACCAGATGATTTTAAATGTTAATTATTATAATATTTTAATATTTAATAAGAATTTATTGTGATTAGACGGACAAGATTTAAATAATATATATTTATTATATCACAATATGACGCAACTTTACCATCTCCTGTTTTAAGATATCTATTTATCGAAGATTACAATGAGTTTTTAGGCAGGTTGCCTCTAGACCTTGAAACGTCACAGAGTACTTGTGTCTTGTTAATCTGTGGCCGCTATATTCTCCTCTGTCCTCTAACGTCTGTGGTAGTAACGAAGTGTTTGACCCTTACCATACTGTTCCATATTCATTGGTGTTACAGGTGTGATTACAGGGGACATTTTAGTACTAAGCCTTCGTGTTGTGTTCAGTCTTGTTTAGGATATCTCAGTAAGCATATTCATAGTTTTAATGTCGACTTTACATATTTTTTGGTTTGTCATCTTAATTTCCCATATTTACAGATACGATACGCAGGCATCATAAATAGGTTGGAAAATTGTGTCTTCGGAAATTCCCTGTAATAAGAATATGATACGGTCCTTGTGTGTAAATAGACATAAAAATGTCACTCCTTTCTTCCTTTATTATAACTCTATTTTTTTGTTTTAATTGTTTCTCTAATGGAAATTTTAATTACGCAAAATTTTTCGTTTTGCCTTTGCCGGAAGTGGGTGCTGTGACATACAGCCCTGATGATGAGACTGGTCGTATGTGTGAAATCAAATTCCGTGTAACGAATTTTACGAAATTTAGTCTGCGTGTCTGCACTGATTTTCGAAGAGTGACAGAATTACAACTGAACTCGATGAAATTTCTGACATAGTTTTGAAATACAGTCATCTCGTACCTGATGTAAAGTACAGGATTATTTGGTTTTAAGAATTTCTTTTTCGTATGCTTATATTAATGTGAGGTTTTAGATTCTCGCGGCTTCGATTATGGCGATGACTGCTTCCTTCGATACTGAACCGTGTAGAAGTTGTCCGATGTTTCTGATTTATGAACTAGGACATAATTCTTTTGCGTGTTTGCACTGCAATATTTGTGTTTCTAATTATCTTTGCGTTTTTGACGTTATCAATTGCAGTTCACCCACTGCGTATTAGCTAGATATGTCAATAATACTTTTTATGAGCAAAAAATTAAATTTATTTTGTAGGATTTGTGGTTTTTACGGCGGTGAATACGAAGATGGCTGTCTTCTGGGTTGCTACGCCGTATATTCTGAAGTTTACCAACAATTTAGACGTCCTTGCAGCCTCCACCGTCATCGCCCAGGTGACTAAGGCAGCAGGACTATTGAGTGATACGAAAGTATAGGATATTTTCTTGAAGTTGAAAGAGGTTACATATTTGTGGTTTATTTAACGACGCCCTCAGAACCTCGGGCAGATACTGTCGTATGATAAGATGATTAATAATTTTTAAAATAGAAAGGACGTGGAAGGAAGCGGTTCTATCTTAATTTGAGACCCTAAGGGACTAAAGAAGGCATATGAAACCTCATTCAGCACAACCGGTTTGCGGCTCGTGATTTGAATCCGGTACTCCCAGAATAAGTTATCGAAGTGCCTATCACTTGGCAGCAAAGATTTGTGAGAAAAAGTTTTGAAAATGATGTTTCTGGATACATCGAGGTCATAATGCCAGACGGGCGTAACAACAAAATTGCTTATTTACAGGAGAATAAATTCTTCCGCATGTTTGGTTTGTCAAATGTGTATTATTAGTATTCTTACTTCAAAATGTAATAACTGTTTGTATCTCTGTGGAGAACAGCATTAACATTACGCCCGTCTAGCATGACGTACGAGAACATCCGTCTGTTTTATGTTAGAACACTTATTTGCGAGTATGGAAATAAGTTGGTACACTCTTCTGGCGTTTAAGATAATACCTTATAATAGTAGTTAAGTTATAACCATGATGTAGCATAGTTAAATAAAACCAGAATCAGTATCCTTCTAATAAAAACCTCCACACAGTCGTTTTTGCAAGATATATATAAATTGAGGAATGTTTAAAGTCACTAAACACAATTTAAAGTCACCCTAGAAAAAATCCGAGATAGTTTCTTGAAATCTGCCACGGTCACCTCCATTTGCATAACTTGTGATTTATATTTACCCTTAATTTATCCCCCTTAATCATATCTGTATACACTTTAACTTTGTATTTGTCGTTTCAATTATATGCAGCATGGTGTTCTGTAACTCGTTTGATACGGTGACTTAATATGAACCTTTAACAGGCAACGTGGTGAATGGTCTGCAGTTCATTAGCAGTTATTTAATTTTGGTTAATATCAGAACAGTGTTACTCCGATGTTCATAAATTTCAGCGGTTTGTCTGTGTCATGTGTGCAAGAAGTGAGTTTACTAATGTAAGGTTCTATAAACATCGGTATTATTGGATGATGCTCAACTTTGGTGCGTATTTGCGAGTTTGTTTAATTCAGTTCCTTAATCTGAGAGGTGTGAGATAGGTCGCGATGTAGGCGTGGTTTCTGCCCCTTACGATTCGCTCGGTGATAGTCAGCTCAAACACCCCCGCCCCCC